ATGCTCTTTGCAACGAGTAGAAGCCACCTCCCATGGCCTCGGACCCAGGGGCCTGGAGCTTTGTGTCCCAGGCCGGTCTGGGGGCAAGGCTGCGGGAGCCTTGACCTATGTGGGCTGCGGTGAGAAGATGGGCCCAGCCTGGTCGGTGAGAGGTTCCCCCTCTTTGCTCTGGGGACCGGGACAGGAAGCAGGCTCCAGAGTCACCTGGGGGCCCTGCTGCCCTCAGTGGAGCCAGTGGGGGTGGACAGAGGGTCACAGTTAGTTGCCCACCTGGGAAGGTTCTGGATGGGGTGTGGCCCCCCTGGTTGTCTTGACCAAAGGGGTGTGGTGTCCTTTACACTAGTCCAGGGTCAGGTGGGCCCAGGGGGCCCACCGCAAACTGTGTGTGGGGGGTCCTGGATGATTATGAGCGACAGGACGGTCACTGGGGGGCCCCGGGGCAGGGCGAGAGGGGCTCAGGCCAGGGGCTCCTGCGGAGTCTCCCCCCGCGTCACCCCCTCCCCGCGTCCCCTCCCTCCCCCCCACGTGGGGGCCCGCCCTCCTCTGGGCAAGGATCCTGTGTCCCCAGCAGGACCCAAAGTGTGTGTAACCCCACGGAGGGTCTCCACAGCCCTGGGGTGGGTGACTCCCAAGTCCACGCATCTGCCCACAGCTCACCCTTGGGCTCCAGACAGCCTCCGCCATCTCCGCCTGGACGTCCCAACATAACCCAGCCCAGGGAGGGGCAGACGCTGGGGGTATTTCTGGCAGGTGGGCCACAACTCTGAATCAGGGAGGGGCCGGACCCGGGGAGCCCAGGCCCTTCCTTGGCCTGGAGCTTCAATTCCCTCGGGGAGCACCACGTCTCCAGCACGGCCTTCTCACTCCAGGAAACCAGGTTAGGGAGTGCCTGCATGGGGCCTGCCTGGGGCCCGCATCACTGTGACCCGGGCCCTTTCCACGGACAAGACCGGAGAGGTGGGGCCTCACTGTCCCTGGAGGCCGCCCCCTGCTGTGAGCCCAGCAGCCTGGGGAGGAGCCAGCCACCAGCTCCATGTCCCCGGGTCACCCCCACCCCTCACTTGCCAGAGGACAGCAGCTCTTTGGCCCCCACCCAGAGGTGGGGTGGAACCAGGAACCCGGAACCCTGGCCCCAAAGGACCCAGGGGCTGCCCATGCCCTCACACCCAGAGCACCCCGTGCAGCTGGACGGCCTCTGCGCCTCTCTGCTGGCTGGGAGCCTGGAGACTGGGGGCTCCCCAAGGCCACCCAGGTGGCCACCAGCTTAGGTGCCTGGGCTGGACGGGCCTGGGTTTGGGAAACCAGCTCCCTGAGCTGTGCCGCAGCGTGTGTGCGAGCCCGTGTGTGTGTTTGTGAGCTTGTGCATGTGTGTGAGCCCTCTGTGCATGCATGTACATGAGCTTGCACATGTGAGCCCATGTGTGTGTGAGCTCCACGTGTATGTGTCCACTCATGTCCTCTGTATCTCGTGTTTCTGTGGTCTCTGTCCATCCTTGTGCGTCTGTCTCAGGTATGAGGCTGTGTAGGGGTCTCGGGGTCTGTGTCGGGTGTCTGCACTGCGTGTACCTGGGTATCTGCTCTGACCCGAGCTGTGAGGAGGTGTCAGTTTTAATGTGAGGGAGTGGACGGACCCAGGAAGCAGGACAAGGCCCATTGATGCCCCATGGGTGCCCGTCCCTTGCTGTGCATCGGGAATTCCACTCTCACGTCCAGAGAGGTTAGGCGGCCCAAGGCCACACCCCCAGGAGGCGTGGTCCATCCAATGTAGACATCACGGTCCTTCTCTGAGTCCTGGCCACGAGGCCCGGCGAGGCCCCCTTTGAAGCTGTCTGCTCTATTTGCAGGTCCCCAGCAGAGAGCCCGTCAGCTGCACTGGGTGTTCCTGGGGGTGAGGGTGTGGGGCCCCTGAGACCAGCTGGGTGTGTATAAATGCGGGTGAGCAGGAAGCGGGGCCCCCTCCCTGACCCCGCCACACTCAGACGCCCTTCCCACTTTGATAGGCCTCCCCTGACCCTCCCGGCCGTCCTGGACGCTCTCCGCGGAGTGGTGCTGCCGGTTGCGCAGGGTGGGAACTCAGGGTGGGGGCCCGGTGGGAGCGGGACAGCAGCTTCCCCCAGCCACTGTGACTCAGGGGGGCTGGTCCCCTGGTGTTTAGTAAATGTGCACTCTGCTCTTCCGGCACCCCAACTCCCGCCGACTGCCGAGGCCCCCTGGGCAGCCTGCCGCTCTCCCCGCATCTCCCACTGCTGTCCATTCAGGGAGCCCTGCCCCTCGCTGGCCCTGCTCTGTTTGCACCTGACCCTGGTCCTGCCTGGGCTCCGGGCTCCCCTCCAGGTGTCTGCCTGCATGACACCCCTCACCCCGGTCACTGCCCTACCTTCCCCACCGACTCCACCAGCCCGTGAGCCTCGGGGACTGCCATGTCCATGCCCACTGATGCGTGGAGATGCCAGGTCTCTGCCCACAGCAGGGACACCAGTGGCTGGCTGGAGAGTCGAAGCTGCAGGATGAGCTGGCAGGGGCCAGAGGGCACGTGGGCATGTGTACCCACCACACGTACACATGCTCCCACAGGCACATACCTGCTCCTGCTCACATGGGATCCCCTCCCACATGCATACATGCTCTCTTGCACACACACATACACATGCACACGGGATGAGCACACACACACACACACACACACTCCCCTACACCCATGCACATGGGTGCACACTCATACACATTGTCATACACACGTGCTCACTTGCACAAACACAGACCCAACCTCACACATGTACACACACATATGCATTCTCACATGCACACACACTTTCCCACACACGTACCCAGCCCCATGCACACATGTGGACACTCACACACATTGTCACTGCCTCACACAGGCAGTGGGCCCAGAGATGCTGCAGTGACGAGGATCACAGGACTCGCGTTGTTTTTT